CTTCTCTTTAACTACCAGTTGTACCTCTCGTGTTCACCGTGAAGTTTCTTTTCTGACCTCCAGGCGGCAGGCCAACCCGTTTAAGTCGGCAACCTTCGGCGGCAGCCTCGTGTATGCCACTTTCAAAGAGCTGCCACTCGGTTTCCACATCAGTGGTCATCTCCGGGATCTGTTCAAACAGTCGTTCGATCTTGCTTGCAGATTTCGCTCTCATTTTACCGACGATAAGGTGTTTCCCACTTGATTCCCTGGTTGCTCCTGCCACTAGGTCTTCGCGTGGTACCCCATTCCTCGCAACGCAGGGTGTCAGCAACAAGGTTGTGATCGGTTGATTGCTCTGCTTTTAACGCAAACATCCATTAGAAACGATTATCAAATAAAGTGTTCATAATGGCCAGTCCGTTGTTTGCACAAGATCGCATCAACTTCATACCGTTATTGTTGATTTCGCTGAGGTCGTTTTTTCCAATCACGCCGTTTCACTTTTCAGCGTCTGCTCCAACTTACACATTAAAATTAACCATGAGTATGAGGGACTGTGTATTCGGCATTTCGGACAGGGCACACTGCGCTTGCTCAAAGAAGGAATCATGTTCTCCCTCCAAGTTGGGCGCATAAACCTGTATCACCCACATACGAAAATATCATTTTTCTGTAAATTCTCCGGATCCTACCTGGCGTAAGTATTCCGTCCCCTTCGCTTCTAATAGCCTAGTAGACCTTGAGGCAAGCCATTAATGATATAGCTGCGTCATTATGCAACACGGAAGAAAATTATTTTCGAACACATCCCGGAATGCTACAATCCGCGATTATATACGTGTTGATCATGTATGATCATCATGGAAAGCTGATAGAGCTTAAACAGGAGAGTAGCCCAGCTTAACAGTCGCGTTTAGAAATTGCGTCCAAGATTGTCATTAGGCAATACCCAGTACTGCGGCAAATATTATGTGCCTCGTTATAAGGTCTGCCTCAGCGAAGTGCTTCCATATTTTGCATTGTCATTCAATGCATCTATGGTTATTTGAATTCCTTCGTCAAAAAATTGAAAACAACTTCATTTTTCAGGGCAGTTTTAGCAAACCAAACCAGATGCTCATCTTTGAGTTCGTCCGAAGAGTTTTCTCAGACTGCTGGTCGTTATCCTGCTCGTTCGTGACTTTGCGGACCCAACGAACTTTGAAGATACTTCGTCGGTGACAATTTGGTTTGAACATGTTTGGAAGAACATTATAGCGTTTAAGGGTTCAGTTGACTGAGTTTATGCATGAACACTGAAAAGACGGGGGAGGCCGTCCTGTCCGTTCCTATATTTCGATCTTTTCATACACAAAACTACTTGCCGAAATTCGCGAATGGCAGTCCAATTTAGAAGTTTACTTCAAGATCCGTTTCGCCATAACGGCGCTCCAAGATAGTCTGAATGATGCACCTCAGCAGTCGTAGTACCATGCATCATGACCTTGAACCATCGGTGACGGCGGGCACTCTCATAATCTTCCATTTTTGTGTTTATTTGTAACCCCGCTCCTACAGCGGTGTTGCATATATTTTCAATGAGTATCGGTAGATTATTTGCGGAATCGTTCAGCAGCACCATGTCATCGGCATAACTGAGGCCCATTGGAAATACCGGCAGGCATCTCGAGATGCGGCGCTGAATAATGATCAGTGTCTCGCTGCTATTTTGACGATGCATTTGCGAATAGCATGGTCTTCCATAATTTTGAACAACAAAAATAAGAGCATTCATAGATATTTAAGTAACTCATGGTTCGAGATACCAAATACAACAGATAATAAACGGTTTAATGCTAAGGCGTTTCACTGCACAAACCGCAGCGACATCAGCCATCTATGTGTATGGCAGTGAGCCCAGAATCAGAAACCTGAAGCATCATTTAATTAAAAGAAGACATATCTGAGCTTGTCGAACTACACTGATTACCATTTTAAGAATGATCTTTCAGTTCAGACAGCGCAGTTATTTTTATCGCGCATATATTCTAACAGGTTTATCATGGCCTATGGAGTCCTTTAGTGATAAATAAAATGTTACATTTTCGGGCAATAATCGGAATCGGAAACTGCCTGGAAGTCCATGAGCTTTATGCGCTAGGGCATTTGGAAGTTCCGGCATTGCTAGACAATTCGCATTAGCAGCAAGATGTCTGCATGAATACCCACATTGGAAGCCTCTTTTCAGCGAAGTATCTCCGAATTCTCTAAGTGGTCCAACAGATTCACGCAAGACCTTCTCAACCATCGGTATTAGGGTCGTTCTTCGATAAGTGGTACAGTTAAATTGACTCCAACTGTTAAAAATTGGGATTATTACGCCTTTCCTTCAGTCTTTGAGGTTTTATGATTTTCGCCAGGTGTGGTCGAAACACAGAACGTTTCTCGCAGGCACTTCAAGATTTCGCAGTGTCTGCAGGACTGCGAGCTTCGAAAGAGTTGTTTCGATTCTCGAACTTTTCGAGCGATGGTAGTTCCCAGTCAATTTCTAACTTTCTGTTCTATTACGATATATATCGACATACTCAGCTCTGCAAAGCAGTCCTCCCATGGTTTTCTAGGGCCTTATGATCTTGAAACGGCTTGTTAAACTTACTATGCAACTGAAAAATGTAGGCTTTCCTGTTTGTCACCTCTGGCAATGCTGTTTTATTTGCCGTAAAGCATCTTTAAGTGCCCTTCAAGGCTGCGTTTTCCAGCGTCGGCGCTTCGATGTCAAGCAACTCTTCCCGGTTTTCGGCGTGATTCTTCTTGAATGCTTTGACCAGAAGGCGACAAGCCATTTTTTCTCAAGTCGGAGTCATGTAAGGACACATACTTCGGTGCAAATCTTAGCGAAGCATATTTAAAGAAGTTTATCAAATTTGACTCTGTGAACTTGAAGTCATTTGGCACAATTCGCTATATAAGCAACATGCGGCTTCTTCTGAATCCAAAGTAAGTTACTTGCAAATCGTTTTACTTCAACCGTGTGCTTTTGTAGCAGTACGACCATGCATTTGGAGATAAAAACACTAGGTTATTCGATCAGTTTCAGCCACTGCATCTGATTCTTTTATATGTAGATGTATCTGTAAAAGTAGTGTTCCATAAGCATAGTGTTAGCTGACATTTGGCTTATATGTTCGTTAATTACCTATTGCTCGCTTCAGGCTCTTGAGGTACGTTGGAAAGAGGGTGGGTTCAAACTCGGAGGTGCCGTGTTTAAATTAAAAGGAAAGAAAGAGAACTTTTCGTAATCGCTAATTTCTCTGAGTAACGAGTTTATCTCTCCCCCACCCCTTTGCTTCGGAGCAGCCAGCCCTGAAACGGGTTGTCTACTTGCGATCAGTGGTAGCATGATATGTTATGTTCATACCAGAATGTTGGGTGGTACATCTATGTTGCCTGATTCAGGCACATCTCAGGACTGTAATTCGGCTTGATGCCCCTGATAACTTTTTATTTAATGGGATAATCAGGACAAGGCGTGAACCCTGTTATTGGTACTGTTTTGTGCCCTTAGCCATGGATATGGAAACGCGACATTTGACTACGTAATTCTTGTTTAACCTTAGTTTTTCTGTATTCGCCGGTTGATATTCGTTCTTTAGTTTTTTGATTTTTAATCGATGTGCTTTGACGTTCTCATGGATTTATATGGTTCTGTGAGATAGATGAAACAACTTCGTTCCCTGTAAGTTTTTTCCATAAATCATGACGCATTTTTAGGTAGAAGGGCTCAAAATGATGACCGAAGGTACAGCTGAAAAGGAACTTCCGGTAAAAAAGTAAAAGACGTCTGTTATTTTTATCATCGTTTGCATAGCTCGAACAAGAAACAACAGATACTGCTTCAGAGGAAATTCTTACAATCGATATATCCGATGCGGTTAGTGAAAGAGACAAAGTGAAATTTACCGTGAGAACCAAGGTATGTAATTAGTTTATTTGCAAGGTGTTTATAGTCTTGTGGATTAGATTTGCTGAGATTTGCAGTGTAGTCTCGGTGTACTATGCACGCAAGTGGAGTGTAACTGGTTGAGAAGTTAATGTAATATATAATGTAATAAGTACATCGGGCTAGCAGTTATGAACGATGGCAGATAGGGCTTGGCATCAGACATGAATCGACCGTATAAGTTTAGTAATGTAGGAGCGGATCTGGGCTGCGGTAATGAGGAAGGAGTTGAGCCGCAGTGAAAAGTTGCTGTTATTCAAGTCTTTCTACACACCCACTCTCATATGTCGTCATAAGTGTTGGATACTGATGAAAAGAGCACGGTTCTGGATCAAGCGGCAGAAATAAGGCTTATTCGAAAGACAGCCATGTGGCAGGGTATTTAAACAATCAAAAATTGCTGCGATCGCGTCTGATGCCTCGCTTTACGGCTACAGTTTCTCCTAACCAATCGTACAGATAGAGAGAACTAAAAGATGAGCTTGAGATATACCCTTTGAATTAAAAGAAAATTCAATCGGTTTACTTTTGAGTTAGTCTAAAGCCTTTCCCTAGCATTGGTAAATTTTGATTTGATGTTGTTTGTGCTTTACACATTCCTTTTAGACGAATCTGAAGGAGTTTGCTAAACCGGAATTTTCAGTGGTGCGCGAACATGATGAATTCGTATGGCTTCACAACACTATTGAAGAAAACGAAGATTACGCCGGATACATAGTAAAAGCGTTTTTCATAGGCCTTTAATGATTTGTGTTCTGTTATTTTTAATTATTACCGCTTTTGACATAAACACGTTTGACATGGAGGGCACAGGTATATAACAGATCTTTCGAACTTCGGTCTGTTTTTAAGATGCTCAATACGCTGAATGCCTTAATTATATCAGAACATGTGTTGTTTTCGCTGTAACGGCATTGGCGCTACTACTTCAGCTCTTTTCCCACAAGAGCGTATATATCCACTAAGCGAGAGATTCTAACTATGTATGTTCACGATGTAAAAGGAGTGCCATTGCTGGATCAGATGGAGCGCACAGACTGAGTGACCGAATATTTCCAGCTCCATTGTGGCAGTTGTTCTCCAGATTGGCTTGTTTCAGATGTTGCAGATCGCACACTTTTCGTCGTTTATGTTTGAGTGAAATGTTTGAAGTCTATAGGTCAATGACATTCCTAATCATTGAATCATGCCAATAATTTTCTCTGAAATCTCAGATGTGCCTTTCAGATTGGCTAAGGCCAAATCGTGGTTGTGTCTGATGCGAGAACTGAAACACGGCAGACCTCATCCAGCACACTAGCATACAGCATGGATATGCAGCGAAGAAGAAGAGCTTTGATCAGAGAGCGATTTTCTTCTTACGACGCAGTAATCGGTGCCTTATGGCTTAAGCGTTGAATAGCTCCTTTGACCTCAGCGTGCGTCGCAGATTAGCGACATTTCGGTTATGCTAACTGCTCAGGGTGATGATCATATTACACACACATGCACACGTGATGGATAGATTTGAGGAAGATTTGCTTTCGAAGAGGTTCTGCAACGCAATAATCTGTCTTGTGACAAAGGTGTTGACAAGCTGTGAATACAACAAAGATCACAAATCAGAGACGGTTTTCTTGCACGGACGACGATCGTACCATTTTATCCTCAACGTACATTGTACATACTGATGTTAAAGAGTATTTATTAAAAATTCTTATGCTCTAATTAAAGCAGCAATATTCGGACTCAAATCAGAACCGACCTGACCGCAGCAGCAGTATAGAAGTAAATTTTATAATAATGAATGTAGTCTTTTCTGTCACGGTTTTTAAGAAGTTTCTGAAAAACTGAGAAGCTGTTACAGTTATGGTTATTTTTCATATTTACTGGTATGATATCCAGTCTTGTGCCTCTAAACACTTCCTATATGTCATGAGATTGGCCCAATGACGGGGTGTCCAGATGACCGTTTCTGATATAATGATGCCGCTTCTATATCAGCATCCGTCGTAGCCTGATTTAGACTATTCTTCATAGATCCCTCCATGTCCGGCTAGACCTGATTTCGAAGCGTCGCGTGAAAAGCTGCAGAAACTCAGCGAGGGTGAAGCAACGATGACGAAAGAAGAATACGCGAAAACCAAATCAGAGTTGGAGGCGTAAGTCGAGCTTTTACTTATATATGTTCAAATGCTAATTGACTGTTAGTTTGTGTCGCTTTCAGCGAATATCTGGCCACTTTCAAAAAAACCGTTGCGATGCACGAGGTGTTTTTGTGTCGTCTCATTTCGCATCCGGTTTTCAAACATGATCAGAACTTCAAGATTTTCCTCGAATACGAAGGCGATGTAGGTGAACACCGGTCAGCATAAAGTTTGTCATTTTAACTGTTGAAGCTCAGTGTTCGAGGAAGAAACAGCAAAGAGAAACTGGGCAGCATCTGGAAGAGATTTTCGCAGTCGGCAGACGGTGTTCTTTTGGCCGTTCAAAAGGTACTTATCATGCTATATTTACTGTTATATTATGTGCCGTGCACGACTGTTCAGTTAGCCAATTGAATTCAGTCTTTGAGGTTTGGACAGCCAAGTTTTGTCAGTCAGTCGTTCATTCATTAATTTTGTCAATCAGTCATTGAGCTAGTCAGTTATCAGCTCAGTCAGAAGAGCATTGAACCCACGGTCGAAGGATCATGAATACGAATCCCAGGAGCTACAACTCGTTTTTAATTCTTTGAGGCAGATAAATGAGTTTATTATGTGAAAAAGACATGCGTGACTACGGTGTAACTGCCACTAAGTTGTATAAGCAGTCTTTTGAAAAATGCCACTCCTGGCTATCATTATGGCAGAGAACAACATCACACCATATAATACATGAAAAGGACGTATATGCATTACGGAAAGATCTGCTACAGAGAAACCGACATCCCATTCG